TAAACTTAATATCATTTTATTTAATTTTTTAAATAATATTCACAAACTCAATGCCAAGTGATTTCACTTGTAGTGCACTCATATGTGCTTGGGTACAGTTGTGTCTCGCTGTGCCTTGCTTAACTGGCGTTAAGAGCGCGCGTAAGAGAGCAAATACTGGGAACAGTTGGCTAATGCTGGGAACAGCTCCCCTTTGGGAACAGCTTGTTGGCATTGTGTGGGCACAGGCATTCCAGCTGTTTGCTGTTCGCTATGCTTGGCTGTTGGTGGTTGGACCAAGTGGAGCTTAATAATGCAACAGCCACACACCAACACACACCCACACACACCCACACACACCCACACACACTCACACATAGACAACGACGCACCGTTACACTGACCTGTTCACAGCATGAAATGTAAATACAATTTAGGAATTCTCAGATTTCACATTTTAATTGCAGGCAATGTGCGCAAGCAAAACTAAGCAACGCGGCTGTGGACAGCCACCGCATGTATAATGTATAGAGGTGGGTGTGGTGGGTGGTGGCAAGGGGTCAGGGGTTAAGGGTTGATAAGGTGCTACGGTCATGAGCTAAGCTGCGAACGTTGCTCGCGTTTCACCTGGCACTTTCTTTTTTTTTTTTATCAATTTGGTTCCCTTTTCTTGTTGTTTTTGCCGGTATGCCTCATCAACAGGTGTGCGTGGGGATATGTGTGTGTGTGCTTTAGTAATGAAAAATTTCAAAGCGAAACTTAATTCAATTCTGTGACAATGTGACAGAAGCAGGAGCCCTTTTTTTTTTGTTGTGTTTTTTGCTCTTTTTTTTTGGAATTTTTTGCAATGGGGCTTCATTGTCAGCGGCAGCGACATCAACTGTGCTGAGAGCTGTAGGAAAACTGCCAATCCGTGATTTATTTTAAGCGCACTGCTTCATTTTATTTCCAATTTACTTAAAACACAAAATAAAAATAAAAATAAAAAAAATGGTGAAACCAGCGCGAGCGATTGCGGCAGCAGCGGTGGCACATAAAATGAAATGCAGGAAGTGGATTTTTGAGCGGAAATAATTTTGCCACATGTTGGCAAATAAACACAAGCCAAGCTGGAGATGCTGTGATGTGAGCGGGCGCCAGCAGGCCACCCAGCCGGTCTATGGGCAACGGGCGGTGGCTCAAAGCCAGTCAGCCAGGGAGTCAGCCAGCCGCCTTTATCGCTAACAGCTTAAAATTCAATATAAGTGCACGATTCTCTTCCTGCTCCATTTGTGTTTTATGAGTGTGTGTGTGTGTGTGTGTGTGTGTGTGTCTGTATACAATCTCTTCTTCGTTTTGTTTTATGAATCTTTTGTGTGTGCGTGAGTGTTAAAAGTAATTTTGTGGCAAGTGTAGCTAATGCATAAGCTGCCACATAGCCTCCCCATCTCCTCCTCTCTCCTCTCCCCACGCTGAATTGAAAGCTAAGGTGAGACATTGATAACAATGGCAAGATAGTTGTTATTGTCGAGCTGGGCGTTCAGCATTTGGCCTTAATTAGAAGTTCTCCGTGCAGCCAAAAAGTATGCAGCACTCAATGAAAGCCCCTTGTGCGAGATAAGAAAACAAAGCGAAAAAGCAGCACATAATTGAAACAACAGCAGAGAAGTCAGGAGATTCGTGCCATGCAAATGGGGTTAACTGGGGCTAGCTAACAAATGAGGTGGAGAGTGGCCGTACAGGGTATGCTACGTGTGGTAAGTGGCAGTTGCATCAACAACACTGCGGTGTCTGGGTGAAGCTGCCTGACAGGCCAGAGCAAAGCAAAGCAAAGCAGAGCAGAGCAGAGCAGAGCTCGTGACGCATTTGGTATGCAACACTTGTCCGGCAACCTTAACAGTGTCAGCCAGCGAAGGCAAACACAAAAACAAACCAATACACGACCAGTTCAGTTCAGCAACAACAACTGGCTTTGTTCTGTGTGCGTGGCAACAAAAAGTGCAGCTGCCGGGACAACGCTGCGTATGCGCAATGTGAGCGCAAACAATGCAAGAGCTTGCGGACGTGCGAACGCAACTCCTGCTTCTATTTTTATTCTCTCTCTCTCTGGGCAGGGGGCGTCACTTGTGGGCGTGGCACCGGCCACAGCATAGGCGTGTTGCTGCTGCATCGTGGCAAACATTTTAAATGCAGCCGTATTCAAGCAGCTCATTCAACCCTGTCCTGTGAAAAGCTGAAAGCGGGCAGCTCAGACTAAAATATATAATTTAATATTATGTTTTATGGTTTAAATTTTATATT